TCTAACAAATCGTGATTTTCTGAGTTGAGGCCCCTGGGCGCTAACGCAGTCAAGTACGGTAAAGCAGAATTATTTAAAAATGCACAAATTTACATTGCATTTTATTGAAATAGGCCTGATTGACATTTCTGCTTTGGTGCTGTGTGCTGGTAGTGAGAATTGAAATAACATAGAGTGCAGTGTAATTACATGTTTTGTCAGACTTTAAAATATATTCATTTATATTTACATATTAGATGTGTACATGTGTTTTTTTTATACAGTCAAACTAACAGGGTTTCAATATATATTTCATTATTTGAAAGGACCCAGGAATGTTTGGTGCAAATTGTACTGTGGATGCTGATTGTCACGAGGGAGAAGCTATAGTCGCAGGCAATGGTCAGTAAATCTACAGTATACATGTCAATGAGGTCATATTCTTGGGGGCGAACATCCAGGCACTTTCTCTCTCTGGCAACCATCTTGTTGAAATCGTAGGCCGAAAATTCTCAGAAAACTGTACTTTGGGGTAGTGTAGACATGTCAATGATAGTGTATACATGTTCGTATATAAATTTGGTTGCTTAGGTTGAGTTTGTGCTGTTTCCTCGACTTTAGCCGTTTTCACCGGTGTTCCACAGCAGCTCGCACAGAGCCCATAGAAATACATTGTACAGTGGTGCGTCTTAGCAACATAGAATGTTCTGTGACTTAACCTTGTTCCTGAGAATATTTGCTAATGTCAATGTTACTCAATTATTTCATGTAACAAATAATATACTTTACCATACACTTGAAACAGTACGATATGTTTATGCTATATACACAGTTAAATGTTATTAAAAATGACAGGGTTTACAAATGCTCACTGTCACCACCATTGCAGGCTAAGTTGCTCACTTGTTTTGTTATGCACCTCTCAAAATTGTTACGCGATTAGAACTGGTTTGTTCAAACCACTTTTATGAGGGTGTTTTGTTCAGCTAAATGCACTCATTTATGAGTGTTATGACACACCATTAACTGTGTCCTGACATTTCACACTGTGTCAGTACATACATTTTGTTTGGATAACTTTGACATTTATTATATACAAATTTATATGATTGAATAAAATAAATTGAAAGGCAATTGCATAATAAATTTTTATTTATATTCAATGTGGCCCAGTACCCCACTATTAGATTGACGTCTCTTGTTGAAGTCGGTTTATTATAATCGTGTAATGATCTCCAGGCGTGCATTTTAAACCAGTCAGCAACTTATATGGCAATGTTGCTGTTCAAAACAATATGGCAGTGACAGTAACTGTATTTTCATAACTGATGATCTATAAAATTAAAATGATTGGCATGTCACATACAACCCGAACATGGACGCTTAATTCTTTCATTGACCAATGAAAACATTTGTCGTCGTAAGTCAAATAAATTAACTCCTTCATTGAATTGAACATTTCTAGTAGATTAATGTAAACGTTAACTATTGCATTATAGGTGTGGCTACTGGTAAATGTATAGATAACCCAGGGTATAATAACACAAAAACTTGTGAAATACTTGCTTGGTGTCCTGTGGAAAGAGACATTAAGCCAGGTCCAAGGTAGGTTCTGTATCTTGCTTCAGTTGTTATCAAAACAATCAGGGTTGATGATTGGTTAAATATAGTCACATGATATTATTGCATAATAATATTTTCTCCCCATAGTATGTGTAAAATATCAATTAATTTATCATTATAGTGATTATCTGTAGTATATTGGTCTTATTAGCATATTTCCCGCGCTTGTAGTTCACACATGCGCATTGTACCTGTCGGTTGGTGAAGCCATGTTTTGAATAAAGTAAAGTCTATCGATTGTTCCTGCAAACTTTGGTTTGTTTCATCTCCGCCTTACCACAGGCCACAACATATTTGGCGACGAGGATGAAACTGTGTATTTGGAGAACCGGCACGACTGTTTTTGACATTCTGCAATTCCGTAAAGTGGTAAAACTTGTCGATAGAAAACTCATCCAGAACTGA